AGCAAAGCAATAAGAGCTGCTTAAGCATATGTGGCATTGCTAACAGCACTCAATGATATTGTTGTTATATGTAATATAAGGTATGCTTGATATATATATGTACGATTTATAGCACATTTTCATCTACACGGCATTCCATTTATATTAATTAAAGCACACCTTTTGTTCACATATAAGTCTTTTATCTTTTATATGTATGCTAATATATACAAATTATAAAATTATAAACAACAATTAATTAAAAAGTAGTAGAAAATAAGTTTTAAACAATAATCAAAGTTTTATTTATTTTTATTTATTTATTTATTTTTTATTTTATTATTTTTTTTTTTTCAAAATGTGTTCCTTAGTAAATTTTAGTTTTATTGATATACCTATTTTAAATAAGTTTCTAATAAATCTACATTCCTCTTTGCACTGTCTAACATTAATATTTGGGGCTTCTAATTTCAAAGCGAATAAAACATGTAATAAATAAATCATTTAATTGGTTATTTATAGATTGAAAAATTACCTCTTAAAATAGGTATACATCAAAAAATATATATTTATATAAATGCAACTAAACCAAATCATAGTGAGCAGTTAGAAAACTCTGATGCTTTAAAGCTTTCTTCCGTCATCCCCTGCACGATTCTTGGTCAACTCTTCGAGTCTTCGACTCTGATTTATGCGACAGTCATTAGGATTCGCTCGTTTGTGGCTGGGCAGCAGCAGGGCAAATTGAAAGGGCCAGCGAAAACTGAAACATATTGCAGCATTTTATTATATTTTAAAATTAACAATTTTAGAAAGAGACAGTGAGAGAGAGAGAGAGAGAGAGAGAGAGAGGGAGAGAGAGGCAGTTAGAGTTCGAGTAGAGCCGCTTGCATTCCAATTTAATGCAATTTTGCGCCTCTGGCCAAACAAATTACTCAAATATTGCGCATAAATTAATGGAGGAGAAAGAGGACGACTAAACTAGGCGACGGACTAGCAAAAATTAAAACATTAATCTACGGCCTGGGCCTGCGCACATGCATAACAATTAATGCGGGCCTCTAAATTTATTAATTTATTTATAAAACCAAAAAAGGGCAGCCTGCCAAGGAAAGAGGTGCGAATGCGAGCTTAAAGACCTGCTGCACAGCTCGGCGCAGAGCCCAACAGAAGTCTGCAAGACGTCTTAACGAGAAATACTATTCCACATGGTTCTCAGTCGATGTACGTCTCCCTCTTCTTCTTCTTCTTCTTCTTCGTTTTTTTCTTTAAAGAAATGTCCGTACGCCCTCCAGGGACAGATTAGCGATTAATCTATGGGGCATGGTCACATGCACGTCCTACACTTGCCTTCCAGGCAGTCGGCAGTCGTAGGTCTGGCGGTCGGGCAGCTAGAAAGAAGCGTCTGTGGAGCGTGGAGCGAGAGGTAACGATTAAAAAATCTCCACAGTAAAGACTGAGCACTTAATCAAAGAGGATTTAGAGAGGAATACAGAGCCAAAGCCCAGTGCCCAGAGCCCAGAGCTGCAGCTAAGGCAGCCAAAGCGTTGATGCGGCGCTTTGTTTTAGCTCATTTCGTTCTTCCACATTTGCTGATGCACCACAAATACCCTATTAAAATGATTGGGTATATGTAGATGAAAGGGATGATTATCTACTCTTATATATTTTATTTGTTTATTTACTGAACTTGATTCTATGAATATAATATAATATAACAGTCCGCGGTCATTTGACAGCTTTTACAGAATAACCACGTATATTCTCGTTAAGAATTATGGTAATATTTATATAAGTATAACCCTATATAAGGGTTATTTATTAAAAAATATATAAGTAAAAATTAATTGGTCCCTAAAATATATGTATTTTTTTTTTATTGTAACAAAACATATATAAAATATAAATTTAAAATTGATCATTATAAAAAATCGTAATTCATAAATTTAATAATTTATAATCTTATACAAAATTTAAAAATATTCTTTTTTGACATTGTTAGCTTAAGAATTTTATGAAGTAAAGCCAGCCCTTAGGAAAATATGTCTTGAAATCTGAAATTCAATATCATATATCTAAGAGAAAAGGTATTTCCATATATTATGAATTTACCAATATTCAAAACTTTTGTTCAAAGAAAAATTACGTATTCGATATCCATGAAATATTTTCTATTAAAATAGATTATTGGAATTTTATAATTATTATTTTTAACATATTTCAAACGTAGTAAAACTGGAAACTTTATCAAAAGCATAATTAAGATAAAATCATAAACATATTAAAAGAGGACAGGCTATTTTTGTGGTTTAGAATAGATAAATAGGGCATAGCTTCAAAAGTTTTGTCTTTGATTAGGTGAATTTGTCTTTGATTTCTCATTCCATGCAGTAGAGGGTATTTTGAAGTCGTTGCACTCCAGTCATGTTAATTTTTGCTTGCGCTCTTTACTACATATTACAAGCAGTAATATTTTGCTGAAGCCTTGTTCATAGTTTCTGGTGCGCTTTTTCATTTGCGCAGCTCCCCTATGCCAATTCACCTCGCTCCCTGCCCACTCGCCCGCCTCCACCACCTCTTCCTCCTCCTGTCGCACCACACACCTTGCCATCTGCTGTTTAAGCTACCAGCCTGGCCGCTCAGTTGGCAACTCGTAAAAGACCTTAAATAGTGGCAGAGACATTTCAGACATTGCCGCGCGTTGGCTGCTGCATTTGTCAATTTGCTATGAGTTGAAAGGGGCGTGGCCGGGGCATAAAAATGATATATGCGAGCGCTGAGTTAGCAATTTTCGTATGAATTGCCAAATGGTAAAGCGACGCCGACATTCGCTTTATGAATTTTCTTTATGGGCAAAAACAACAACAACAAAAAAGAATGAACAGAAAAAACTCTATAAAATATTTTGATTGTATTTCATGTGAGCTTAAATTAAATGCATGTTGCACTTCATACACACATATATATCTGTCTGATACGGCATCGAGTGGATTTAGAAGAGCCAGCAGGAGTAGGAGCAGGAGCAGGAGCAGCCCATCCTCTCTGTCTGTGGGCAATTATGGCCCAGTAACCGCAACACTAGCTGGCCAGCTTTGGCCTTGGCCCAAACACTCGCATTTCGTCATAAGCCTCGGCCAATTTTTGGGCATTTGGGCCTGTAATCCTTTTGTGTGCTAATTGGAGCGTTTCTACCGGCCATAAATACCCCGGCAAATGAAAGCGAGCGGCTAAAAAATGTATGTGTAGATGTATGTGTGTGAATTTGCCAAAATATTTGTCATAAACAGGCAGCTCAAAAGCCGCTTAAACCTGCCACTTGCCCGAGAGAGCGAGCGAGCGAGCGAGAGAGTGAGAGAGAGAGGGAGAGAGAGCGCACAACAAATGTAAGCCTTTTGCATTCCTTTTAATTGCTTTAGCTTTGCGGTCACACTTGGCACGGCCTCAGCCTGTGGAGGGGGCCGTAGAGAGGGGGGCCCTGAAACGGTGGTAATATGCTATTTCGATAGGCTCTTCAGGCTGTGGCTTTCTACCTTAGCACAAAATCTCTATTAATTACACGTTGCTCTCAATGCAAACCAAGGATTATTTATTGTATAGGATTATTTATTGTACTGAAATAAAAATTTCTGAATTTATCGTAAAAAAAAAAAAAAAATAATAATTTAAGGTATATTTTAGCTATGAATAAACTTATATTTATCTAAAATATACATTTTGTGTTAGCAATTCAAAAATCTAACAAAACTCCAATATTTACAAAAATAAATCTGTATTTATACACAGAATTTTGGCTATATCGTTAAATATGGAGTAGAGAACTCGAGTATTTAAAGCTGTTTTTCTATACAAATTGTTATATATATAAATTTTGTGTATATAAAATCGTATACTTTATTTTTATTTTATTTTATTTATTTATTTTTTATTTTTTGAGTATAAATACTTAGGGTATCAGACAAGCAAATTATAAATATTGTATATAAGATTTACGTACATTAAATAAATATATGTATGTATATATGTAAATCTCTTTAAGAAATACCGTAAGTCACGATTTAATATAATCGTGTATTATATATTTTATACTTTATTATATTATAAGAAGTAGAGTTTCGCTTAGCCGTTGAGCTTCAATTCCAAAATACTCCTAGTGTTATGTAAGCGCCCAAGTTATTTGCTCATGCTAATCTCGATCGCATGTTGACAGCTCTTAGGCAACCAGATCGAGAGGCAGGAATTTGAAGTGGGCCCGCTTTGGGCATCTTAGTGGGTGCCAATGTGACACATTTATGCGACAATTGGCGGATTTATCATGTATGTGTGTGAGTGTGTGTGTGTTGCATTGATTGGCTATCCAATTTGCATATAATTTATTTTCAATTGTTGTGACATTTTGCGCCACTGTGGCTGCGGCTGTTGCCGTTGCCATTGCCGTTGCTATAGTTGGGCTGTGGACAGGTTGGCATAGTCGTGGGAACTTGCTGCACGGTTGCAAGTTGCAAGTAGCTAGCAGCGAGCTGCGAGTGTTGATTGTTGCTTGTCGCTAGCGACAAATCTCGGGCCTGACTCACTCTCAGTTGCGGCGAACTTTCACTCGATTGCGGCCTGGGCCTAGTCGATAATTAAGCCATCTTGCGGCACGTTTATCTAGCTGCAGACAATGGCTGCATCTGGCGGATATCTGTGGCAAATAGCTGCGGTCCGGGCGCACCTTCAATTAACGTCAGAGTCGCTCTGTCTCTGTCTCTCACTTGTTTAGTGTCTCTGATTGGAGTTGAGGTAAAAGTGTGGCATTGTTGCCTTTTGGCCTTATTTCAGCTGAACTACTAAATGCCAATTTGGCCGGGATGCTGGCAGGCAGGCAGGCACTCAGGTGCTAATGCCTGTCCGAAAGTTTGGCCAAGTTTGTCACGCTAACCGAGTGCCAGTCGAGAACCGGTTCGATGCTGGCATCTGAAATCGATCCGGCGATCTCCACTTGGGCCCAGTTCGTACTTTGAGCCAATTTTCAGTATGTAAGTTCGGAGTGGTCAAGCATACACTGGAAAAATATTCAAAGTCAGTTAGTCGAGCTCCGAGCACAGATGGGAGCACTTCAATAAAAGTTTGTAGGTTTTACGACATGTTCCGGCTTTTCTGTTGATTTTTTTTTGTAATATTTTGTACATTTCTTTTCTTTTTTTTTTTTTTAAATTGTGTGTGTTAGTGTTGTAGGTAATCCAAATTAATTAATCAATAATGGCGGACGAGAAACCCAAAAAGAAATGGGAATGCTGTAAGAAGGGTCCTCCGCAGCCCGTGGAGAAGACGGCTGATCCGATCATCTCGCAAATTGGCGACTTCAAGGTCTATCAGTTCTGGTACTGCATGCTGATCTTCCTCTGCAAGTTCGGCACCGGCTGGCACACGCTGGCCCACATCTTTCTGGCCGCGCCAACGCCCCACATCTGCAAGACGGAGAACGTGACGAATGCGTGCAGCTCCGCCTGCAAGAATCCCTCCTTCGACACGAGCATCTTCAAGACCACAATCGTAACGGAATGGAATCTGACCTGTAAGAAGAGCAGCTTGGCCAGTCTGTCGCAGTCAATTGTTATGGTTGGCATTATGTTTGGCAGTATGGTGTTTGGCATGATATCGGATCGGTAAAATTTGTGTGTATATATATATTAGTTATATGTCATACGGATATCTATTGTCTATTATAGCTGCGGTCGTCGACCCGCATTTTTGGGCTGTTGCTTAATGCAACTTGGCACGGGCCTCATTGTCTGCCTCTCTCCGTATTTCTGGTTCTATTGCGTCTTTCGCTTTCTGGTCGCCTTTGCCACTGGCGGCACAATGACAACAAGGTGAGATCGATCTGAGCTAAAAATGAACTAAATACGGGGTTCCCCCATATAACTTCTTTGCCTCTTTTTGCAGCTTCGTGCTCATCATGGAGATAATCGGTCCCAAGAAACGTGAATTGGTTGCCATTTTGTATCAAATTCCGTTCAACATTGGCCACGCCTCGCTCGCCGTGTTCGCCTACTTCATACGCACCTGGCGCTGGTTCCAGTTCAGTGTGACCATTTTCTCGGTTGTGTTCTTCCTGTATATCTGCCTGGTGCCCGAGTCGCCGCGCTGGCTCTTCATCACGGGACGCTTGGACAAATCGATCAAGATTTTGGAGAAGATCGCCAAGCACAATAATGTGATCACCGAGACGATTCGGGGCGAGATCGAGGCGGCCTACAAGGCAGTGTCGGCCGCGGCGCCAGTGAAAAAGGGCACCTTCATCGATCTGTTCCGCTACCCCTACTTGCGGTTGAAGACCATTTGCATGGCCAACATTTGGCTGGTGGTGTGCATGGTCTACTATGGCACCGCCCAGTACATTTCCAAGCTGGGCGGCAACATTTTCATAAACAATCTGATCGCTGCTGCCCTGGGCATCCCCGGCACCCTGCTCTGCGTCGTGATGACCAAGTACCTGGGCCGCAAGCTCACCATGATGATTACCAATGCCATCAGTGCGATTGGGCTGCTGGCGTTGGCATTTCTCACTCATGCCGACGAGAAAATTCAGGTGGTGTGCGCGACCCTGGGACTGTTTGGCGCCTCCATCACTTTCCCCAATGCCTATCTGTGGGGCGGCGAGGTATTTCCAACTGTCGTCCGTGCGAACGGCTTGGGTCTCTGCTCGATGGTCGGTCGCGGCGGCAGTCTCATAGCGCCGCTCATCTGTGAACTGGCTCTCATCCGTGCCTGGATAACGCCGTTGATATTTGGTTTATTCTCGGTGTCGGGCGTATTGGTGAGCTTCTGCTTACCGGAAACTCGAGGCGTTCAGCTACCAGCGACCTTCGAAGACAGCGAAGTAAGGGAGAAACATAAGTTTTGCAGCCTCAAGTGAGCTGTGGCCCGACCCAGCTTATGTCTATAAAAGGATTCAGGAACGTTTTGGTAAATGCCCCTACCTAAACGCCGATTGAGTTCAGTCCTGACATCTATAACAGCTCAATTGGTCTTGTTGGTAATGAGCAATATCATTGAATGAGTGGTTAAGCTTCGTAATTGTGATAAGTCTGTAAGCAATAAAAATTCTTTAATCGATCAATTATGCGAACTTCATAGATTGTGTTTCAGATTGTGTTATCATGATCGATAAGTATCGATAATTGATCATATGCTTCATTAGATTGAACAGTTAATAAGTAACAAAATTTCGACCAAGAATCGATTCAAATATCAAGTTAAAAAATTCTCTAAATGATATTTTTAATATTTATATATAATGTCTATCGATATTCACTTATCGATAAACATCGTTTGAGTTCTCTTATTAAGTAATGTTTAAAACTTGTATATCAGAATATGATCGTTAAGCTGCAATCGAAAAATATGTTTATCGATTCATAAATAGTATAGCTGTCACATCAATATGGTATATTCAGTTATCGCTACATATCGTTACATATCGCATTGCTACAGATGATAGTTTTAACAAAGCTATTAGATGGATCAGCTCAAATGACTGATAATCCCTTTAGAGTTAATCCAGCTAATCCAGTGAGCAATTAGTTTCGCTCAGCGAGTCGAGCCCCTCCCGCCTGCTAAATGACCTTCGCGCACAACAAGAAAAGAAAAAAATTTATAGCCCGCTGAAAAGTCCACTCAAGGTTAATATCGTTGTCAACTTTGGCACGCCTCATTTATATGCAACACTTGGCTCTGCAGACAGGATGTCGGGAGTCGGACATCAGGAGTTGGGCGTCGGTCAGTCGGCCGGTCGGGTGGTCGGGCGGTCGGGCGGTCGGGCGGTTGGGCGTTCGGCAGGCAGGAGTCAGTGGCCAGTCGCCGTCGGCACTTCGCAACATGGCTGTGGTGCGACGCTCAATCGCCACTCAAGCCAAGCTGGCCCAGCTTCAGCAGCCCGAGAGATGCCGTCTCTCAGTCGGCCTGTCTCGACAGTCAATCAGTTGGGGGCAGTCGCCGGCCAGTTGCCAACTGCCAGCTGCAGCGGCTTGGAGGCCAAGTTTTTAACGTCATCGGCACTGGCAGCTTGTCATGTCAGCCGTACGAAAACTGTCAGAAATCGAGCTGAAGTTGGCGTTCAGCTTGCTGCCTCGCTGCACATCACCAGGCCCACTTCAAGACCAAGTTCAAGTTCCAAGTCAAAGTCGAAGCTCGGCGTCGTCGTCGCATTTTTAATCAGCCGCGGCGCGTCTTAGTGATAATTACCAGACATATTTGTTGCTCGCTCTTGTGAGCTGTGCCTCCGCAGTGCCTTCGATTCCGGCCGTATAATTAATTATAAGTGCGAAGCTGTTGTTTCGTCTGGGCTATTATTCATTGCTGTCGCTCTTGCGGCTGATGGCTCCTCATTCAGTTTACATTCGCATGCTTGGCTCCATCTTTGCTGCAATTTCGGAATCAAGAAGCGAGGTTTATACAAAAATCATGGGAACTATTCCAGAATGAGCTTGGATAAGGTCAAATTGTTGTCTCTCAAATTCAAATGATAAAAATTATCTAAATTTCGTTTGTGTGAGTTTGGAAAGGGAAGAGAAGCTTTGCAAATTGTATTATTTTATATTATGATTATTTATTTTATTTTATTAATATTCACAAAAAGAGGTTGCAGTAGAACAACCTCTTAATTTTTTTTTTTTTTTTATATATATACAAGAAGCAGTTTATTTTTTTTTTTTTTTTTTTTTTTTTTTTCTATCAGATCTAGCAAGGCAACATAAATATATTTCAAAAGTTACTGGGACAAAAGCTTAAAAAGTTAAAAGTTAATAAAATCATATTAAGTTATACGACACTCTGAGACATTTGATCTACAACATAAAGCAGATAAAGAAGGAAGCGAATCAGATATTAAATGGAGCTTAAAGCATATATCTAAACGAAATCAATATACTCAATTCATACAATGAATGATTAATATGGAAAATGTGAGAAATTGTGATGTGTTTAGCCGGCGAACACACAAAATGGCATTAAAACAATTGGAATGGAATTTGTAGGTGAATTAAAAAAAAGAAAAGAAAAGAAAAGAAAAAGACTTTGTATTGTTTTATTGTCAGCCTGTTCGCATGGCGAGCAGCAAAGTCCTGGCAAGGCGATGTTAAAAAACCTGACACTTGGCTAAAGCCGAAAAGGCCAGCGCAAAAGCAGTTTGCCATTTTGCCAACATATGGCAAATTTGCCTGCTGACTGCATGTCAACAGCTACAACAGCAACAGCAGCAACGACGACGGCGACGGCAGCGAAACCCATTTAAGTTCAAAGCGCGACAACCGCCAGAGTCAGGAGTTGCAGTTGGAGCTGGAGCTGGAGCTGGAGTTGGAGTTGGAGTTGGAGCTGTGGCTTGGCATGCCAGCTGAGCCGATCATTATCTGCGTCGCATATCTATTTGCGATTACGAGAAGCAGGCAGTCAGAGAGCCAGTGAGGCAGGCTGGCAGGCAGGTCGGGGTCTGTCAGTCGTGGGAGTCTGTCGGCCTGGTGGCAATTGCAACGTGGGCGCTGACAAACAGACAAATGTCAAAATGACGCGCTTTGTTGTTTATCATATTTACCGCAAGGCAACTAGGCAACAGCTACGGCGACATGGCCCAAATGCAATTAGTATTCAAATGCAGACACGCCAGAGACGAGGCGAGAGCGAGCGCTAAGCCAAAACGAGTCATCATCAACCAAAGTCTTTTGCTTTATTCATTTTTGCCGCCCGGGGAGTCGGCCAGGCAGCGCAGGGCACGCTAAAAAATGCGTCTAGTCTTGTTTCTATATACACACACACACACATACACACATACGTACATGTATATCTATGGTCTTTTTGTTCAGAATTCGTCGTAATTTAGCGCACGCATTTTGCATTTTAAATGCCGGCCACATTCTGTTTAATTCCAACAAATTCGTTTGACTAATTGCGAACAGGTGAGCGAGCGAGGGGATTCTGTGTAACTGCACACCTTTAGCGGCCGCAATTAAATGAATGGAGCCCGCTGCCGATTTAATGCATGATTTTGTCTCCTCATCATCTACGTGACTCTGCCGCTGCGAGCTGCGCGGCAATAGAGTGTGCGCCCGCGGCATTTTCGCTCAGATGATTCAATATGGGCACTCGCTGCATATTAAGCAGCCCAGCGCAGCGACTCTCCAATATGGTCTTTGTCCAGTTTCGCTTTTACATCACCATAAAGAAAGTCAGCAGCCAGCGCAGCGTTCAGTGTGCGTTCTGGGCGCCATTCAACGCACCTCTCATTGCTCTCTCTCTCTCTCTCTCTCTCTCTCTCTCTTTCGCTCAGTTGTTAAGTTAACAACCGAGTTATGACAACTGCCAGCAATTAAAATTGACAATTGATACGACAGACAACAGCAAAAGAGACAACAGCAATATCGTGCCTCTAGCGGGGGTAATAAACGATGCTTTTTATGACTGATAGGCGATCTGAAGAGCGCAGGTTCACACGGGTGGGCTTACTGTGATAATATATCATTGTATATATTATAAGCAAATGTAAAGAAATTAAAGATTTATCTCTACAAAATGTATATTTGTATATTATGAGGAATTAAAAGAATTAATTTGTTTGATCCTCCCAATTAATCGTTGTTTTTATTATACTGAATTTATATAAAAAATATTTTTAAATACTCTATATAAATATCTGAAATATATAAATTAAATATATTATAAATTATGTAGTTTTCTTTTTTAAATGAATATTTATATTCATTTATTAATCGAACCGTAATTTAATTAAAAAAAAGAAAAGTATTATTTTCCAACTGACAATTTGTTTATATTTTGTTATAACTATATAATAAGGTATGTAATGTATGTTATTTAATTTAAAATTATATATCAAAAATAAAATGAATATAATTAGTATAATACCCAGATAAAATTCATTCAATATATTTTATATGATTATTGTCAATATATTGTATATTTTTCAATAGAAATTTAATCGAAATAAAAATGAATTAGCTCACATTCATGCTTTACTCATTCGCATTTAGTATATTTAAATAAAAATGTTATTATATAAATTAAAATACTTTGGATTTAGTTTCTATATAGTTTACTATTTTTGTTGAATATCCTTAAATATATATTTCTTCTCTTTTCAATTGAAAAAGAAAAAAAAAAAAAGCATTAATAATTTTAGTCTTTAAAGAAATATCAAGTTTCTTGTCAAAATGAAACTAAGAACATTAGAATCAAAAATCATTTATATATTTCGAACAACTTCTGGTATTCATCGTGTAAACCTTCTTGTAAAGGTTACACATATATAAACTTATAATGGGAAATATGTCCATCTCTTTTTCTCGTTAACTGCAGCTATCTCTTTCAGGGCCAAATTCATCAGCATTGTGTTTATTTTGTGCCGCAGCATTTCTTTTTATTGTGAGATAGTTGGAAATTTGCTGAAACTAATTGCTGCAAAGAGCTGGAATACCCATATGAGGCGGGGTGCGGCCATCTGCGAAACGGCTAGTCCATTTGCGTTGGGGCAAATATGACAATTGGCGGCATTATTAAAAATGCTACGTGCGCTAAATCTGCCGACATCAGCCAGAACGACAGCAGCGACGGCCAAAGGGAGACAAACACCAAAACCGGGTGAGGCTGGGCAGCAAAGGTAACGGCTTCGCATGGGGTAAGGGTAGACGGGTTGCCATGACGGTTGCTGATAGCGCACTCAATTTGCATTTCTGGCCAACGGGGGGCGTGGCGCGGATGCAGAGAGGGCGGGCCATAGAGGAAGAGGTCGAGAGAGATGGGCAAAAGTATAAAAATCAACGGGTGCCAACAATTACTTTTTATAACTTTCTAGCTGGCACTTCAATCTCAGCCAGAAATTAGTTCGCCTCGCGCTGATTTCAGCTGAAATAAAATGACATGGCTTGACAGGGCTGGGTAGTCTTTCAGGTGGCTGGCACACATTAACATAATATTATGAAGGGATTTTAATTAAAAAATCTCAAAGCGCTTGTTCGGGGCATATACTCATCCAAGTCGTTTCATATCGGACGTGTGTGCACTGAGCATAATAAATAGTTTTTTGTAAATTGTAGTAAAGAAAATGCGAATGAG